GCCTTGCCAGCCCGCTCAGCCCCCCCCCACCCCCAGACGCTGCGATTCTAGCTGCGTCCCCGGTCGATATCCCCGAAAGCCTCACCAAAAGGTCGGTGCTGATCCTCTGCCCGGGGTCAGGCTTGGATCCATGGGCCGCCGCGCACCGGGCGGGCACGGCAGCGAAAGACGGCGTCGAGGTCGGGTCGGGCAACGGTTGGCGCTACTGGATCGACGCAGGGGGGGGGGGGGGGGGAGGCGCGGAAAAAAAAAGGCCGAAAAAAAGTGTCCGGTGCGAGAATCGAACTCGCGATCTTAGGATGGTGTTCGACTCTCGAAACCCGCGCAACCGCGCGGTCATGTTATGAGACCTACGCCCTAACCAACTAGGCCAACCAGACGCTTCATGTCACGTCGCCGAAATACTGCATTAATATAAAGCCATTGAGTTACCTGGGTTTTCGGTCGATGTGGAGGGGCCAGCCGACGCCGGTTGCGCGGGCTCACTCGATCCTTGGCTCTCGCCTTCTTTACCACCACCACCGCTTTCGTTGCTTGTCCTTGCCGCCAGCATCGCCGTTTAACCCTCCGATCTGAATCTTCTGCAACGACTGCCACTATGGCACCGACGGCACTACGTCCGAGTACGGCCGGCGTCGATGCGAGGATCAAAAAGAGGCGGGGCACGCCCGTCGCCTCACCTGGGCGGCCCTCGACGCCCTCGACGCCTTCGACGACGCCGCCGTCGCCGTGGAGCGACCTGCCCTGGGAGCTGCAGGACCACATCCTCGAGCTGGCGGCGTATGCCTCGACGGCGGGCGAGGACAAGGTGTCGCTGCTGCTCGTCTCGCGGCGGCACTCTGCGCGACTGGCGGGCGGCGTGTACCACACGGTGCTCCTCTGCTCGGTGCACGCGGTCGAGCGCTTCGCCGCCCTGGTGCGCTCCGACCGCGGCGTGGCGAGGCGGGTGCAGCGCCTCTGGATCGGGCCCTCGAGCACGACGTCGGACCTCATCACCGCCCTCTCGCCGCCGTCGCACCCGGAGAGCACGTACGTGACGACGCTGCGCGACTCGGCCCACGCCGCCACCCGCGCCGTGCTGCGCGCGTGCCGCCGCGTGCGCGACGTCGCCCTCGCCGGCGAGCTCGTCAGCCTCTCGGTCGCCCACACCTACGGTTCCGCCTGCCAGCCCCGCCGCCTCACCTCGGTCAACCCGCACAGCTTTGTCGGCGGCTTCTCGGCCGACATCTTCCGCAGGGTCACGACGCTCCGCATCGTCGATACCAACCTGGCCGACGACGAGGTCGACGAGATACGGACGCTCTGTGGTGCGTTCGGCCTCGCCGGGGGGATCTTTGTGTGTGTGCATGTCTCGTTCGAGGCGCGGCGTCGTGCTGACCGTCGCTCCTCTCCCTGCCACTCCCCGCCCCCGCCGCGTGTTGGCCGGCAGACCTCGAGTGGCTCATCTGGTCCTCGCCAAAAGACTACGGCGACATATCCCGGGACACCAACGTGCTGCGTCGCCTGCTGTCGCGGCCGCGGCGCCATCTCCTTCCGCTCGGCGACGGCGAGCGATCGATCGGGTTGGGCGAAATCGGCGGCGATGGCGATGGGGACCCACCGACGCTGCCGGACCTGGCTGCCCTGCGCATCTCTGACCCCGCCATCGACGTCGACCCCGGGAGCGTGGCGGTGCGGCCGAGCAAAAACGACCACTTCCGCCTGCTCACCATCTCGACGGCGTCCGAGCGCCAACGTGCCTTTCGCTCGGCGCTCGGCGCATCGTTTCCCCTCGTCGAGCCCGAGTACACTCTCCCCTCGTGCCCAGGTCGCCACGACAACAACAACGTCGTCGACGACGACGACGACGAGTACGACAGGGAGACGGGCGTACCCTTCATCCAGCCGACGTCGCTCGATTCGCTCGTCGTCGAAGAGTGGGATGCGCTGCGTGATCTCATCAACCAGGCGCACGCCGGCTATGGCGTCGGCATGCTCGGCCAGGACGAAGAGGGACGTGTCGACCCTTCGAATGCACTCGCGCGGCAGAGGGACTGGTGGTTGCGCGAGGAGTGGGTATGATGATCTCGGGCGGACAGGGAGGGGGTCGGTCGGTATTACATCGTCCCGTCTCGCGTCTACTCTCCTCGATGCTACCCTGCCACCCTGCTACACTGCTATCCCGTCAGGCTGCTGCTCCGCCGTCCGCCGCACTGCTGCCCCGCGCCGCCGCGCCGCGCCTAGATCCTCGTCCCGACGTCGACGACGCGGCTCTCGAGGCTGCGCAGGTTGACCAGCACCACCTGGTGCGTCTTGACAAACTCGGGCACCAGGACGACGCGGCACGCCCTGCCCTTCCACCCTCGGCCGGCCGTCGCGGGGGAGCCCTGCGACCCATGCCCCTCTAACCCCTCGTCGTCATCGCCGTCGCCGCCGCCGCCGCCGCCGCCGCCGCTCTCGTCCTCGTCGAAGCGGTAGAGGGCCGTGCCGTACGCCGGCTGGTTGCCGAGAAACATGACGTCCGGCCGTTGGCGGATCAGGAACGGATCGGTCGCCTTGAACGGATAGCACCCTGACGGTCAAGAAAGATGGCACCGTGTCAGCAGGTCGATCGCCGCAGGCATCTGTCCGAAAGTGGACGCGAGTTTGACCGCCGCCCCGCCCACTCACAAAGCGTGTCGGGCGCCGTCGGGGCAAGGTGTCCCCACTCGAGGACGCGGCAGGCCATCTCGACGCGCCCGTCGTCGCCCTCCTCGACGTATTTGAAGATATCGTCGACGTTCTGGCCCGAGGTGCCGAGGATGCGGCAGCCGTCGAGGCCGATCCAAGTCGGATTGGTCTCGCGGTGGAGCGAGTCGAAGCGGCCGGCGCGCGGCAGCAGGGCAAAGTGGATGGGCTGCTGCGGCATGGCCACCGACGCCGGGTCGCGCTCGCCCGGCAGGATGTGGACGGGCATCGTCGAGCAGAGGTCGGTCAGGAACTGGTCGAGCGCCAGCGTCGGCGCGGCCGAGTAGGTGGGCACGTCTTGCCCGAAGCGTTTCTGTCGCGGGCGGACGGGCGGGCGGTCGGACGGTGCGGCAGCAGCGACAATCGGACCGGCAAGGACGTCAGCATCGATCGTCGGCGCAGGAGCCTTTCTCGAGTCGATCGCTGTCCGACGCAGACGCAACTCACCGTCTTTGTCTCGTCTTCGTTGCGGACGGGCGGGGCCATCGAGTTGCCGGCAATGATGGCGGCGACGACCTTGGAGCTCGCCTCGCGGTCCTGTGGTCGTGGGCGGGGCAGACGCTGGATGGAGGTCAGCTGGAGAAGGTCGCGCGGCTGCGATCTGCTGCGCGCCGTTGCGGTCCGCTGCCGTGTGACACGCACCTCGCCGCTCCCGAGCTCGCCGGTGAGCCACTCTGTGAGGAACTGCATGGCGACTTCGCTCTCGAGGCTGTCGTCTCCGCCGATGGCGAGTCCACTCATGATGACGACCCAGCCGTCGTCTGCTGCGTCGTCGTCCCTGCCTCCGTCCATGACGCTGTCATCGCTGGCCTCGTCCTTGGCTGCCGATGCGGGCGATGCGTCGGGGAGGCTTGCGAAGACGGCGTCTACGACTTCAAAGTCTCCCGCGCGCGTCTCTGTGCCGAGCACGGCGGCGACTGCGCCCGTGATGAGCATGGGCCGCAGCCGTCCGCCCGGCCTGATGGCGTCGCCGACGAGCTTGACCCTGCCGCTCTGGTCCTCGATGTAGAGCTCGTCGCGGGCCGGGTCGACGAACTTGGTGCGTGCGGGCTGCGGGGCGAGCCATTGCTGGGGAGGGCAGGGCGGGACGGGGCAATAGGAGGGAGCCAGAGTGATGAGGGGCACTTGGGAGATGAGCTCACGGCGCTGCCGGTGCACACGGCAGACCAGGGGTGATGGTCCAGGAAGGCGGCGCAGGCTGCTCTGACTCACCTCTCTGGTGAGGTCCTCGAGGACGTCTGGCTTAAGGGGCATTGCGCAGTAGAGGTTGCCGACGATGTAGCATACCTCGCCCTGCCTTACATCGAGGATGCGCTGGGTGTGCTTGGGGGGGTGCGCCATGGATACGCGTGACCGCTTCCTAGACGACGGGCCAGCTTCGGTGTGGGCGCCGGGGTCGTCGTCGTCGTCGTCGTCCTCGTGGTCGTCATCCTGGTCACCCTGGGCGAGGGCAGCCTGGGACTGGCTCTGTGAAAACGAGCTGAAGCCCTGCACCCACTTGGCGTGTGCCCTGTGGAGGATGCGCTTGTTGAGGTACGAGAGGCGGTAGTCGTAGAGCTGGGCAAACTGCTTTGCATAGGAGCGGGAGCCGAGGGGTACGACGAGAGGCTTGCGCAGCGCGGCGACGTCGGTGTGCGCCGCCTGCTTGCGCGACAGCGGTGGTGCGGTCGTCATGGTCAGTCGATGGGGCAGACGAGCGGGCGATGCGCAAGGGAGATTGGGGGGGATGGTGGGGCAGACGGCGGCGGTTCAGAGGGTCGAATGGGTCGACCGAGATGACCACCGGCACTGCCGAGCGAGGCCTGGCTGCACCGTCTACCTGTACGCGACGCGCCTTCCTCAAGGCCAGCCTGGCGGGCCTGCCAAGCCTGCCGTCGGCCGACACCCGAAACCAACACTCGACTACTTTTGGGCGGGCCCCAACACTGACCCCTCTCGACTTTGGGGGCCGCGTAGTCTCGCCTCGCCTCGCCTCGCCTCGCTCCCCCTCTCCCTCTCCCCCCTCTTCCCCTCACCCCCTCTTTCCCACCCCACCATCACCCCATTTTGCTTGCGGGCGTCCCAACACCGACCGACATGGCGGCGACGGCTTCATCCGCGATGCACCGCCGCATCCGCCAGCGCGTCCACCATCGCTCCCAACAGCGCGCGGCCGCCACCGCCCCCAACCACTTCGAACACAGCCACGACAGCAGCGTCACCCACCCACAGCCCCTCCTCACCTCCTTCTCCGTACTGCCACTCGAGCCGCTACCGGACCCGCTCGCCGCGCCCACACCCTCCCGATATAACCAGACCGCCACTGCTGCTGCTGCCCCGTCCCTGCTCGTCTCGTCGTCGCTCGTCGCCAGCCCACCCGCTCCTCTGCCAACACCGCGGGTCGACGACACCGACGCACCTCGTTTCCGCCTGCCTCCCCTGCTCCTTCCTCTGCAGCCAACACCGAGCTCGTCCTCGACCGCCTACGACCCCGTCCTAGACAGTTTCCTGCACAGGCAGCCAGGCAGCAAAGAATCTCACTCCACCACCAACACAACCACGACCGCCGCACCACCCCTCCCGCCACCGCTGCCACGGCTGCACCCTCTCGACAGCACGCCATCAGCGCGCCCTCGCACTCCATCCCCCAGCTCGCCCTCCTCCGCATCTTCATCCTCGGCCGCATCGTCTCTGTGGGACAGCGACCGCTCAGACGGACTCGACCGCGACGACGAAACCACCTCGACCCTGCCATCCGCACCCCATCTTCACCACTGGTCCGCATTCCCCTCACACCATGTTCCTTATCCTGGCACCGCCGGGGCAGCCACTGGGACCGATGCACTGGCATCTCTTCCCCTCATCACCGACCACGCTTACCTCGACGCCCGCCGCCAGTCGTCCCTGGCCAACCTGTCCGAGGCCATCCTCGAGCACCTCGACCCCATTCCCGCCTCCTCGGCCCTCGTCGCCTACCGTCCCGCACCCACGCATCCGCTCCCAGATGTCCTCGCATCCCTCCTCTCTACCGCAGCCACGGCATCCGCATCCCACCTCTTTCACTGGGACGCCAAAATGCAGCGATTCGACTGGGCCCACACGCTACGCCGCCATGCTGCAGACGAGGCGGAGCGGCGCATGGCCCGACGCAGGAGAAAGCGAACACGCGCCATGCACCCAGACACCGGCGCACAGCAGCCGCCAGCGCCCGAAGCACCACCAACAACGCCGCACTGGTGGGGAGCGGAGCGGATCGAGGGGTGGACGCAGCAGGCGTCGGACAGCGTCGTCCGTCCCTTTGTCGACGTCGCCACCCTCCTCCGCCGCATCGAGGCACGCCTGGCAGAGGTGCGCCAGCACGGCACCCACACGAAAGAGGCCCCCGCCTTTGCCTTTGCGCTCGACACTGTCCTCGCATGGCTAAAGGGCCAGCTGCTCGACTGGGCACGCTCGCGCTCCCACATCGTCGATGCTGCGACAGCGCGACCGACGCAGCGGACGCGCTCCTCCAGACTGCCGCCGGCGCCGCCGCCCACCGCCTCTGCCGCCATCCTCAACGCGGCTGCCGAGCTCGAGGAGCCACTCAAGGTCCTCGAGACGCTGGCCGACCTGCTGTCGTGCGCCACTTCGCGCGCGCCGCCGCTCAAGCCTCTCGCCTGGCTCCGCTCGGCCTCGGCCTGCCTCACCCACCTCCATTCCCACCTGGTCGCATCCACCGCCGCGTGCGCCTCGCCCCTCTCGCAGGCGCTGCTCGCCTACCTCCTCGACCGCACCTCGATGACGTGGCGCACCGACGTAGCCACGTGGATCGGGTGGCCCGGCTACGCCTCGAACCGCACGGGCGAGATGGACGAGGACCTGGTGGCGCTCAGCACGCGCGACAGCGCCCGGTCGAGCGGAAAGTGGCGCGAGTCGAAGCGCGCCGTGCCCTGGTCGGGCGCCGAGATCGAGTGGGCGCTCGACGAGAGGGGAGAGGAAGACGTCGGCTACATCCTGCGCCCCTCGGCGGTGCCCTCATTTGTCGGCCTCGGCGACGCCAGGGACTTTCTCGAGGCCGGCAGGGCGCTGCGCCTCCTCAAAAAGGCGGCGCCACCGGGCCATCCGCTCGTCGCAGCGTGGACGCTGACACTGCCCGAGGGCGATAGCGGCGGCTGCGGCAGCATCGACGAACTGGCGTCGGCACCTCTGCCCCTCCCCACGTGGCTATGGCAACAGGCCGAGGCGCAGCAGCTCTCGCTCGCGACGAGCGCCAGGGTGTCCAAGCTGCGGCTCGAGGTGGCGCGCTGGAGACGCAAGCGGACGCGCTCGCTGCGCCGCACCACACACGGCAGCAGCAGCGCCGATGCCACGGCGGCCAGCTTCGACGACCGGCACAGCGCCTTGGGCATCTCTTCGCCGCCCACGTCGTCGCCACTCGTTGCTCAGCTCGAGACGATCGAGGCTTCATTCGTGCAG